AGCGCCTACTTTTTGCTTATCGGAATATTTCCTCATTCCTCTCTCCGAAAACGGGTATAAAGAGGATGTGGGAGAGAAATGGAGTGGCTGATGATGAAAGAGATACAGTAATTAAAAGGAAGGAAAACTGAAAGAAGTGCGCTAGTAAGAATGAAGGAGAAAATGTAATAAAAGAGTAAGAAAAAGTAAGAGAAAGATAATAAAAAAGGGGAAGAGAAAATAGGAATACAAGGGTTAAGAATAAAGAAAACAAAAAAAATGGAGCGATGACAAAACGAAAAATGGAATATAACAAATATGAACAAAGGAGATGAACGATAAGAAAAGAGAAACTGACAAGATGATGAAAAATATTGGGGGAGGAGAGAATGGGGAAGTAAGAAGGAAAAATGTAGAAATACGAAGAAAAAGAGTGCCCGACAGAAAGCAAAAGTGAAAGACAAAAATGGATATAAGTTAAAAAAAATAAATAATAATAAATGTGAAAGAAAAGAAAAGGTGAATTGGAAATGAAAGAAATGAGAAAGAGAAGACAAGAAAAAAATAAACAAGTGAAAGAAAATGAAAATGAAGACAAAGAAAGCCTGAGAAACAAAATAAGAAAATAAATGTTGTCAGTAAAATGATAATAATACTAGCAAATAATGAAAAAAGAGTAAGATAATAAGAAAAAAATACGAGAAAAATGAGTGAAATAAAAAAAATATATCTAATAAACACCAAGACGAAGTAAGAAAGAAACAAACAAGAAAGGAAAGAGAGAGACAGGAGAATGTTTACACCAAGGACTGCATTGCTCTTGTTAAGAATGCGAAGGTAAAACGGGCTTCCTTTCAGTAGTCGTCGAGGAAGTCGTACTTCGGATATGGCGACTTTTCCGGATCAAGGTCGTTCTCTCAGTGTTTTTTTTTTCTTGTCATCAGTGTCATAATTGGTTGTAGTTGCCTCAATGGTTGGAGCAGTAGGGAGAGTAGGAGTAGTAGTAGTAGTAGTAGTAGTGGTAGTCGTATTATCATTACTGGTGATAGCAGTAGTAGATGTATTATCCTAAGTAGTGGTGGTGGTGGTGGTGGTGCTGGTGGTAGTAGTAGTATTAGTAGTGGTGGTGGTGGTGATGGTGGTAATATTATCAATTATTAGTAGTAGTAGAAGTAGTGGTAATATTAGTAGTAGTAGTGGTAATGTGATTAGTAGTAGTAGTAGTAGTAGTCTTCGTATTATTATCATTATCATTAGTAGTAGTAGCGATAATATTCGTATTAGCAGTAGTAGTAGTTGTAGAGTAACAGCAGCAGCCACAGCAGTAGTAGTAATAGTAGTATAAGTAGTAGCAGTAGTAGTAGCTCTATTAGTAGTAATGTGACATTATTAGTAGTGATGGTGATGATATCGAAGATGGTGATAACAAGAATGATGATAGAAAGATAAAGATGATAAGAGAGAGAATGATCATGATGAAGATGAATATGTGAATGAAAGATAAAAATGATGATGGTAGAAATAATGATAAAAACGATTTTTGCTACCCAATTTTTTTATGTTACTCTGCCTCTCCCATAGATGCAAAGAGAGAGCTTGCATATATGTCGAACATGCTATTACACAAACATCATTCAAATCGTAGAAACGCATAAGGGAGTGTCCGTGCATAGAAATAGCGTATAAGTAGCAAACACACTCACTGCGGTTCAAAAAAAGCTTCATGAATCACCGAGCAGCCATGTAAATCTTAAGATTCGAAGCATGATCTCCAAACGACTATCGATTTAAGGCCTGTCAGGTAATAATAGTCACAGAAAACGAGGGTATCTTATTCTTGGAGAAATATTAGATATTCAAGTAACCGTTACTTAGCGGAAGTACATCATAAGGTGGACCATTTTTCGCTTATAACGGTTTGTTAAAGAAAGGAAAAGTGTCAAAAAAAGAAGAATGAGAATGCATCTTTTTTATGAGCGTAAGAAAACCATAGAAATTAATAAACGGCAATAAAAGTTTATTTCCCTAAGTTGTTACGGTTTCATTGCGTAAGTAGAAGTGATCCATGCGTTTGTTTTTTTACTCGAAATTCAGCATTCCAGACCAATAATGAACGACGGCCATGCAAAAAAAACGGCCTTCGCAAAAAGGATGACCAGTCTGTTTCGTTTTTGCGAAAGAAAGAGGTCCCGAACCATAGAACAAATACGCAAAAATATCAGTATCTTCAATCCAGAACGAAAATACAACAAACAAACCCAATATACTTTTTTCGTAAACCATACATCACTCGGGATAATTGATAATCTCTCCCATATCCTTGCCATACTGGCGCCGACAGACAAATGGAGCGAGCGAGGCGTGGCCACGGACCAGGGCATCGCGTTCTCCCGCCCTCTCGTCGCAGGAGGCGGGAGGGAGACAGTATATAAAGGTCGACCGCCTCGTAGCAAAGGTCAGTCCGAAGTTAGTCCGAGTGGTGGGAGCAAGCGGACTTCAGAGCATCATGGGTACTCAGTGG